CACTTAGTCTAAGAAATTTGTAGTCGGTCCTGCAAGTAACCTTTAAGTAATAGGCTAGGGATTATTCGCGAGAAACATCCACGAACAAATTGGCATGCCCAGTGGGACACATTTGTGTTTTTTTTAAGTTCATATCAATTTGTGCATGAGATTGAGGAGTGGTTAAAACTGGTAGATCCTAGAAATCCAAATGGGGGTCAGACCCCACGAGGAAATACCAATGCAACGACAAGGGTGGGTTCAAGTTCTATGGTCGTGTCTTCGACGACCCCGAGCACAACAGTCACCACGACTCAGCCAGTAACTTCAAGACAAAGTATGGTCAATACTTCAGGACAATATGTGCCTAGTTTCTCAATACCTACACATGGTGGGGAACGAGTGGAATGCCAACGGCGACGATGGAAAGCTTGCATAACAGCGGTTCAATGTTTGGTGAAAATTCAGCATCAACATTTTCCCCTTATCACGTATCAGGGCTTGTGGGAAGCCAGTTTAGTCGTTCGACTGGATTAGGTTTTTCTCACCAAGTCAAACCCACTTTCACTCCAGCTACCATTGTAATTATGAGGCAGCAGATGGATGAAAGTAATCAGAAATGGTCAACATGCTTACTCAACAAATGAGTATCATATTGAGATCGTTAATCGAAACCTTGGTGACTCAAATGACTCGCATCAGTGACTTTCTTGGTGCCCCATAAGCACCAATTCGACATGTTGCACCACCTCCACAGGAAGAACCAGTGCATTATGAAGTATTGGTCGACGGAACAATAAACCAAGAACAAGAGATTCCCCAGCGTGTCGAGCATATACCTAGGGTTATTGAACAACCCCTGGTGGTGATAGTAAATCGAAACAAAAATGATGATCAAGTGGTCAGGAAGGTTTGACAAGATGCAGTTGCTGAAGAACAGATCTTATAAGCGATTTTCAAACAAATCATGGTTCAAAACAGGATGAATATTGGTTCACAAAGGCATATGTACTCTTCCCAATTACCAGATTTTCTATTGCAAATAGAGTTGCCTAGGGGTTGGAAAGTCCCTAAGTTTACAAAGTTTGTTGGGGATACAAAGGAATCCAGTGTTAAACATGTTGCTAGGTATCAAACTGAAGCTGGTGATATCGCCAACAATAAGGATTTGAAACTGAAATATTTTCCAAGTTCCTTGTTGAAGAATACGTTTACCCGGCTTACAATGCTACCTCCCCATTCGATCCACACGTGGACCCAATTGAAGAAGTTGTTCGATGAACAATTTTACATGGGACTGTAAAAAATTAGTCTAACAGAACTTGATGATGTCAAATGAAAAGTTGATGAGTCAATCGACCTGCACTTGAACCGGTTCAGACTTTTGAAAGCGAGATTCTTTACTCAAGTCCTTGGGCACGAGTTAGTCAAAATGAATGTGAATGGCCTAGATTATTCGAACAGGAAAAAGTTATATACTCAATATTTGAGGGATATAGAGCAATTGGGTATTAGGGATATAGCGCAATTAGACAAATCGAACGTTTAAAAGCTAAGAAAGCCATATTCAGCAAGTATCAGAAAAAAGGGAAAGTTGCGTATGTGACCATTGAAGATTATTCTTCTGACGATAGTGAGTCAGTCGAAGAAACTAAAATTAATATGGACAAACTTCGGCCTGGGCCTCCTTATGCTTGTAAACCATTGAGGCCATTGAATGGGAAGAATCCTATCGAAACCGAGAAAAATGGAAAGGCCATCACAAAAACCTACACTTTTGATATAACTAAGTGTGATGAAATATTTGATTTTTTAGTAACTGGTGGTTAGATTGTTGTGCCTTAGAGCCTAAATATTCCCCCACTTGAACAAAAGAAGAAAAAGGTATTCTGCAAATTTCATAACTTCCTCGGTCATAAAATGTCTCAATTTATTCTTTTCAGGGATTTGGTGCAGAAAGCTCTAAAAGAAGGCATGTTTCAATTTGGAAAGAATCCAAAGATGCAGGTCGATACTGATCCATTGAAGGTCGAAGAGGCTTTATATGCAGAGCCTTTTGAGTGCATGATGATCAACACTACTAAGGGTGTTGATGCAGAAGTTCTGATGGTCGAAGCTTCTGAAGGCTTTGGAATGAAGATGGAAGATGAGTTGCTAACAGTTTATCCTCAACTTGAGGAAAATTTAGTTGATCCTAGAACATATTATGCATAAAGTCTCTTGAGTTTTTATATGGTTTTTTGTGTTAAAATGAAGATTCCGACGATGGCGAAATCTCTAAGGTAAAGTAAAAAGGTTTAAAATACGAATGCAGGAAATGTAAAGGTTTCGACAGAAAGTAAAATGTAGAAAAAGTAATTTAATGTAAAAGACTTTGCATTGAAAACAAGTGGTATTTGAATACATGCATTGCACTCAGTTACTTTTTTCTCACTTTGCTCAAATACTTTGAGTACATTGAGTTTTTTGCAGTAATGTCAATACACTAAATCTAACACTAGAATTTCCTATTTATACCGAAATCTAAATAATTATAACGAACAATCCTTTCTCCAGATGATGACACGTCTTCATCTGCATGTGTTTTATCCCCAATTTGCTTCCACGTGTCCTTCAGATGCAGATAAGGCCAAAAATCAGTTAATTAGCCTCGTTTCACATTCCAACCTCCTTAGTCGAAATGATCTTTAAACTTGTTCAAAAAATTACTAAGTCTCAAACGTTTCTACGTGCGTAGGACCTTCAACACGTTTCCTCGAACGTGTATGTCGAAATGACAGTCTAACATTTTTGGCAAAGAAACAAACACATGATCATCTAGATTTTCCAAGTATTTCCTCCATCTTTCCTTGATATGTTGAAGTTTGGGATGCATCGAAAATCCAGCTAGCAGGTTCTTCCTAAGTCTTTATGGAGCGTTTGACGTCAAATAAACAAACTTTCCCCATGATGCACCTTGACAATGAACCTATTGACAAGACCCCCTCCAAATACAAATGACAACGAGCGTAGAACACCTTCTATCACGACTTGATACACACAATCCAAAACTTCCAATTGGTCTCAACATGAAGGTAATTTGCGGCCAGGCCGATAGAAGACCTTGTGCGCGTGATTCCTCTAGTAGCTAGCACGATAGTCACGACTGTAGGCAAGGGAGCGGCACCATGAATCCTCTTTATTTGGAGCATCGAGTTATAACATTTCATATTACAACTTGTCTATCCTCTTTTGTAGTAGCTTTTACTAGCAAGTATGTCTCTATGAACTGCTTCTTTTATTTCCTTGGCAGTGGTAACCCTGTAAATCCTTATATATCCCCAAAGAAAGATGAACCATGCGATACTTTGCGTTGGGAAATATGAATTACATCACCAATGATTAAGATCTCATTGTGATTATTCAAGAACATTCAAATGCTCTCGTACTAGATGGAATCATTATTTTCAGATGTAGGGACACATGTTAAGATGTATATATGAAACATTGCTAATCACGAGACAACAAGGATTTTGGGGGAAACTGTTTTGAGCCTCCCGCAAGGCCCAATAAAAAGTGTTAAAGAAGAAGGAATACATAATAGGTGGACTCCCACCCCTGCTAATCACACACGATCAGGCTCTCCATCACATCTCTCACTATTATATAATCAAGTGACAACTTGCACGAGACGCTGAATGACCCACAAACGGTTTTAACCGTCCATACTACATAAAGATTAAATCGTGTCATTTTAGGTATTCAATTCATTCTCACTCTAAAACTAATTTTAGTTCATTCATTGACTTGGACGTGGGAGCGTCAACCTTGCATGTTCACCCCATGTTCACCGCACCAAAAATCCAATCAACCACGCTAGAATAGTGATATATCGTATTTGAACACTATTTTATCACTTAACCATACATTTCTTACTTAATGGAAGAGAAATATGAAGCACATACCCCTTTAAGAGTAGGCATGTCTTGGTATCCGACACTTGTATGAGACATGTGTGACATGTGTTAGAAAAGTAAGACAAGTGTCGAAAAAGTCAAATAAGGGCAGTCTGTTTTGGCTTTTTTTAGAAATGATTTTTATAGTGTAGCATAATTTTGTGTAAAAAAAATTTACAAAGAAACTTTTCAGAAAAAGCTTCAAATGAAAATTTGGTTAGATAATTATTCTTAAAATGTTATTTTAGATATTTAATCTTTTTATTGAAATTTCTTTTTGATATCAAAATTTTAAAATAATGATTTAATTTTGAAGTTGTTTCAAATAAATTTTCATAAAAATCATTTTTGAAAAACAACTTTTTTTTTAAAATTGCGATTTTGATTATGTTTTGGTCTTCAATAATGTTTGTTTATGTTACAGAATGTCAAATTTAATATTTTAATTTAGAAGAAAAAAAACAATTATAAAAAAATTTGTAATAGTTTAAAAAACAATTTTGTAAAATTTATTTTAAAAAATACAAATAAAAAATTCATTTTTTAAAACTGAAACAACTAGACCCTTAGTTTGTTTCAACTTTAAAAATGAATATTTTTTTTCTTTAAACCAATATTTCTTTTACATTTTTTTTGGGTCAAATCTCATACATTTCTAAAATGGTTAACCATATACTGAAACAATATCATTATGGAAGAAGGAAAAACATTAATTTTTATTATAATACTTTTAATTTACTTTTTTAATAATACATGCATAAATAAAGTTTAAATTTTATGATATATGGAGGGATGTCAGAATATTATGTTTTCGACATCACACATGTTTTGTGTCTCGCGGTGCCCGTAGAATATGTGCTTCATAGGAAGGGAATATGTATACTTGTCGCGTTAATTTATCTTAGTAACCATGAGAGAATATGCATTCCACTTATTTTATTATGGGTGAAATTTTAACCATTACAAGAAAAAAATAGACACAACTTATATTTCAAATCGTCAATATGGACGATGTTCCGAATAAAATGCACATAAAGTCGATAATCTCAAGCATATATATCATGGTTGAAACTTGCTGTGAGAACATTATTTACGCCTTTTCTGCTTGTTCTTTGACGCATCCCAGTTTTGAGAGAATTTAGTGAGGCCTTCTCTAAATACTCCTAGATTCACACCATTTCTAACCAAAATACTCGTTACTCCCAATTTTGAAATCTGTTATTGCCACAAAACAAGTCATCTTAATTCTTACATATATACTACTAGTATGTGACAAATTGGTTATCTCTCCACCATACAGATAAGAAAATTTGAAAACTTAATTAAAAAAATACAAATAAATATAAATACCTCTTTGATGTTATTGTTATCATCGTCGAAAAAGAGCATAGAGTTATAGGAGACACTGGTCTTTGATTGAATTCTCTGAAAATGATCTGTTTTGTGTGTTGAGCTATAAAATATTTCCTGTGTTGGAAATCCACCAATACACTATGATGAATTTCGACCACCACTTGATGATAAGTTATGAAACAAACAAATAAAAGAACAATGGAGATATTTCTGCAGAATTTCTATTCTGCCCACAAACTGTGGAAACTTTATTAACTCACTTTGCAACTGCAAAATACTGTGAATGAGTTCAATGACTTGAATTACAAAATAAGGGTTACTCCCTCTTATTTATAGATTTAGGTTAGCTTGCTCCCTAAGCTAAACCCAAGCCCAAAATATCTCTTTACTAAATCAAATCTAATCTAGATTTAAATTCAAATCTATTTAAATCTAAACAAATCAAATCTTATTTTTTGACACCTATGAATTACAATTTAACACACCACCTAATTCATTGTGTCTAAACTGTCTATGTTCATCATGACCCTTAGCTTTCTGAATACTTCGACTTGCACTCCCTTCGTCATGATGTCTGCAATCTGATTCTCAGTTCTGCAGTGTTCCAAATTCATCTTCCCATCTGCTACCTGCTCTCGAAGATAATGGAACCTCATTTTGATGTGCTTACTTCGACCATGTGCTATTGGGTTCTTCGCCAGGTTGATAGCTGACATGTTGTCTATCTTCATGGTAATTGCTCTATGATTTTTCCCTGTTATCTCTTCGACCAAGTTCACCATCCAGGTTGCTTGACATGCACAAAGAGAAGCAGCTATGTATTCTGCTTCGCATGATGATAATGCTACTACTGGTTCTTTTCTCGAACTCCAAGCAATTGTTGCACCATCTAGCATAAACACATATCCTGTTGTTGACTTTCGATCTTCAGCATCACTACACCAACTCGAATCAGTGTATCCCTCTAACTTGCATTCTTTTCCTTTATCAACTGCAGGAAACATAATGCCATAATCGGAAGTTCCTTTGAGATACCTTAGTATCCTCTTCACAGCTGCTAGATGTGATACCTTTGGCTTCTGCATGAATCTACTTACCATACCTACACTGTATGCTAAGTCAGGCCTTGTATGACAAAGGTATCTCAATGATCCAATAAGTCTTCTGTATTGGGTTGGATCAACATCATCTTCATCTGCATCTTTCGACAATTGCAGTCTTGGTTCTGCAGGTGTCGAAGTTGAGTTGCATTCTTCCATCTCAAACCTCTTGAGAATTTCTCCTGCATATCTTCTTTGATGCATCATCAAACCTCTACTGCTTTTGTAGAATTCGATACCAAGGAAATATGAAATCTCACCCAAATCAGACATTTCGAATTCCTTGCTAAGATCAACTTTGAAGTCTTCGATCTCACTCTTGCAGCTACCTGTTATCAACAAATCATCTACATAGAGACATAGTATAAGCAATTTACTCTTGCTTCTTCTTACATATACTCCATGTTCAGTTATGCACTTCACAAATTCCTTCTCCCTTAGAAAACTATCAATTTTCTTATTCCAAGCCCTTGGAGCTTGTTTCAAACCATACAGGGCTTTATGTAGCCTGTACACCTTTCTTTCTTCGTCATGTTTCACAAACCCAACTGGTTGTTTAACATAAACTTCTTCATCTAAGGGTCCATTTAGGAATGCACACTTCACGTCCATCTGACATATGTGCCAACTGTTGATTTCTGCTAGACCAACAACCAACCTGATTGTTTCGATCCTAGCAACAGGTGCAAAAACTTCGTCGAAGTCTATTCCTTCTTTCTGTAGAAATCCTTTCGCCACAAGTCTTGCTTTGTGTCGAGTTATTTCACCTTTCGAATTCGTCTTCACTTTGTATACCCACTTAACATCAATTGCCTTCTTGCCTTGAGGCAATTCGACAAGTGACCAAGTGTTGTTGTCTTCGATAGACTTTACTTCTTCGTTCATTTCTTTCACCCACTTCGAATCCTTTAATGCTTCAGCTGCATTAACAGGTTCGACATCTGCATAGAAAGCATAATGTACCAGCTCACCTTCATCATCTATTACATCATCTGATGTAATCACACAATCTTGCAATCTTGCAGGCATGCGTCTTGTTCTTTGAGGTCTGCTTGTACTGGGTATATCTGTTGGCTCCTCTTGTCGAACTTTTCTTTCGACTTGAGTTTCTGGCTCTTCGAATAAGATTCCCACTGAATCTTTCTTGACATTTGCAGTCCAATCCCATTCTTTGAACTCATCTATGATCACGTCCCTGCTGATCACAATCTTCTTGTTCTCTGGATCGAACAACTTGTAGCCTCCTGTCGAATGATATCCAACTAGGATCATTTGACTTGACTTGTCATCAAGTTTCTTTCTCAACTGATCTGGCACATGTCTATGTGCAATAGATCCAAATACTTTCAGATGACTTAAGCTAGGCTTCACACCAGACCAACATTCTTCTGGAGTAATTCCTTCTAGCTTCTTTGTAGGACTTCTGTTCAAAATGTATGTTGCAGTCGAAACAGCTTCACCCCAGAACTCTTTGGGTAAATTCTTGCCTTTCAACATACTTCTCACCATGTTCATGATGGTTCGATTTTTCCTTTCTGCAATTCCATTTTGCTGTGGAGTATAGGGTGGCACCACCTCATGCACAATCCCTTCTTTTTCACATAATCTGTCGAAATCTTTCGACACATATTCTCCTCCACCATCAGTTTTCAAAACTTTGAGCTTTCGACCACTTTGTCTTTCGACCATGGACTTGAACTTGATAAATACTTCGAACACTTCACTTTTCTTCTTGATCAGGTAAGTCCATAGCTTTCGACTGAAATCATCTATGAATGTAACAAAGTATTTGTTACCTCCCATCGAATCCACCTGGATTGGTCCACATACATCAGAGTATATGACTTCGAGATTAGCCTTCGATCTGCTTCCTGCATCCTTGCTGAAGCTGTTCTTGTGTTGCTTCGCTTGCACACATTCTTCACATACTTCGTTTGGAATGTAAATTTCAGGCAATCCTGAAACCATATTTCTTCTCTTCAAATCTCTGATGTCTCTGAAGTTGAGATGACCTAGTCTATAATGCCATATTCATTCATCTCTGCTAGCTGCAGTCGAAAGGCACTTGTGCTCCATCACATTTAGTTCAATCTTGAAGGTTCGATTCTGAGACATAGGAGCCTTCAAGATTACTCTCCCATTTGCATCAACAACTCTCATCAACTTATCTTCGATTGATACTTTATAATTCTTTTCGACCAACTGCCCTATACTGAGCAAATTGCTCTTCATGCCTGGTATGTACAATACATTCGAAATTACTGACTTCTTGCCATCTTTCCTCATGATCATAACATCACCAATACCTTCAGCTGCTAGGGTGTTGTCATTCGCAAATTTTACCAAATTTTTCGTTGAGGGTTTTATGTTGACGAACCAGTCTTTCCTTCCAGACATATGTGATGAACATCCTGAATCCAAGTACCATTGGTCCTTGAATCTATCTTCATCTCTTGTTGTGACCATCAGCATCATCTCTTCTTCTTCTTTATGTTTTGCCAGCTTTGCATCACTTTCTTGATTCTTTCGTTTTTCTGGACAATCACTCGAATAGTGACCATACTTCTGACAATTATAACATTGAATATGACTCTTATCAGGTTTTCGACCACCACCTCTTCCTCTGTTTGCAGCACCACCTCTTTGGTTGCCTTGGTGTGGTCTTCTTTGATTCGACACGTCTCCTTCGATTTGGTTTCCTCTGCCATTCAATTTGTTGTAGCCACCTCTACTTCTGTCGAAATACTTTCCTTTGCCTTTGGTCTCTTTTGCTGAATGTGCCTGCAAGGCCACATCACTCTTCGATTTTCCTGCAGCTCTTTCGTTCATTCTTTGTTCATGAGATTCGAGCGTCCCTTGAAGCTCTTCCTTTGTCAATTTCGACAAGTCTTTCCCTTCTTCTATCGCCACCACTATATGGTCGAACTTAGGGACTAAGGATCTTAGGATCTTCGAAACAACAGCTCTTGTTGTTAATGTTTCTCCACATGTCTTGATTTGATTCACTAGTTTTGTAACTCTAGTGAAGAAATCAGATATGTTTTCACTGTCTTCCATCTGAAGCAGTTCATAGGTCCTTTTGTGAGTTTGTAACCTCACTTTTTTCACCTTCTCAGCGCCTCCAAAAGACTTCTCCAGGATCTCCCAAGCTTCTTTTGCAGATTCTGAATCACCAATCTTCTCGAAATTGTCTGGACTGACACATTGATGAATTATAAACAATGCTTTATAACTCTGTTTCTCAGATTCTGTATATTTCTTCTTTTCTTCTTCTGAAGCGTTTTCGCCAAGCGCTTCGACTCCATCTTTTACAAGGTCCCAAAGGCCTTGACACCTTAATAGGACTTTCATCTGCTTGCACCAATTCTCATAGTTGTCAACTTTCAGAATTGGCAGCGTTGCTGGATAGTTTGCATTCCCATAACTTGTCATCTTGAATTCTTCAATCGTTCTTGATTGATACTTCTCTTGAATCGAAACACAAGCTCTTGATACCAGATGTTGGAAATCCACCAATACACTATGATGAATTTCGACCACCACTTGATGATAAGTTATGAAACAAACAAATAAAAGAACAATGAAGATATTTCTGCAGAATTTCTATTCTGCCCACAAACTATGGAAACTTTATTAATTCACTTTGCAACTGCAAAATACTGTGAATGAGTTCAATGACTTGAATTACAAAATAAGGGTTACTCCCTCTTATTTATAGATTTAGGTTAGCTTGCTCCCTAAGCTAAACCCAAGCCCAAAATATCTCTTTACTAAATCAAATCTAATCTAGATTTAAATTCAAATCTATTTAAATCTAAACAAATCAAATCTTATTTTTTGACACCTATGAATTACAATTTAACATCCTGAACAGTAAAAAATTTAAATTTAAATTTTGTTATTGATTTTAAACAAAAATTATGAAAGAAAAATAGATGTGAGAAAAAGGGGTTGAGTAAACAAACCTGTGCGACAAACATTGAGGCGATACCGAGTTTGTCAAGAAACGTGGTTGCTATGTGAGGAGTTGGTGATTTAGAAGCAATGGCAGCATCAATTCCTTTATTTTTGAGTGCACTCAAGATGCCTCTAGAATGAGGAAACAAAGAAGGTGTGTCGTTTTTGGAGCGGCACTCGCTGAAAGATGAGATGAGATTGAATTGGTGAAGTAGTAATAGAAGAAGAAGAGAATAGAAAAGGTGCATGTGATGTACGAACCAGTAGAAAGGCCAAAGAGTGTGATCGAGGTCGAAAACAACGAGCTTTGGTAGAACTTGAAATACTCCTATCATTTGGGATGCCTCCTCCATCTTTCTTTCTGCCGAATGGGATGATGAACCGATGGTTCATATTTGTTGGACTTGAAATGATAGATTTACTATTGGAATTAGTAAAGATTAATTTTATTAATATAGAGTTGGTTTGTTTCAACTTTAAAAAAATTGATTTTTTTTTTAATTTAATTTTATAAAATTATTTTTCAAAATATTATAAGTCTTAATATATTTGTTTTTTTTAAAATTAAAATAATAATTTTGATATTATATAATATAAACATACATTAATGAAAATCAAATATAGTTGAAATTGAAATTTTATTAAAAAATTATATTTTAAAAATGATTTTTTATGAAAAATTATTTAAAATAACTTCAAAATTAAATAATTTTTTAAAATTTTGATATCCAAAACTTTTTTCACAAAATTTTTTTTACAAAATAATGAACTATCTAAAATAACATTTTAAAAATAATTATTCAAACTAAATTTTAAATTATATTATATTATAAAAAATCATTTAAAAAAAATGAAACAAACGGACTCATATTTTAGTAATAATATACGTTATTATTACAAAAGTGTAAAGAAGGTTTTTTTGTAAGGTGACGATCTTAAGGGAGACTAAAATCTTTTGAGCTAAATGACCGGATGTTTATAAGGTTAAGAGTAAAGGTTGTTTGTGGGTTAAAAATTTATATTTGGTCAATTTATCTCTTTTGGCTATTTGAAAGTTGAGATTTATCTAAGGTATTTCTATATGTTGGTGCACAAGAAAGAGATAAAAGGCAAAATAAATATATTTACTGACAGCTTTAAAATAAAAATTTACAATGAATTACAATAACTTATGCTATTTATACACAAAATTAAATCTAAAATATATCTTCTAACAAAGATATAAGAAGATGTAAGATATATATCTTCTAACAAAGATATAAATAATTAAAAGATATTCCTAAATATAAATTAATATCTAATTAATTATAAAATCTAAATTAATTCTAACATCATCCCTTAATTTATATTTATCCAAAACTGACAACACCAATTCAATCCCTTAAACCAAGAAATTGATCAGTTTTGATAGCCTTTGTCAGAACATCTGTCAGCTGCTTCTAGGTGCTACAGTGCACAACTTCTAATATTCCATTATGAACTTGATTCCTCAGAAAATAATACTTAGTCTCAATATGCTTGCTTCTCTCATACAACACTGAATTCTTGACAAGATTGATTGCAGACTTGTTATCAATCATCAGCTTCAGAGGTTTATTTACCTCAATCTTCAGATCTTTCAGCAAGTTTAGAATCCACACAACTTGACACGCAGTCAAAGCGCCTGCAATATATTCAGCTTCACAAGTTGACAGAGCAACAACATATTGCTTTTTAGAACACCAAGAAATAAGACCTCTCAGAAATTTGAATAAGTATCCAGAAGTACTTCTTTTGTCAACTCTATCTCCACACCAATCAGAATAAGAATAACTCAAGTTCTGATTCGATCTTTCTTCCAGACAGAAATAACACTCCATATTTCAGAGTTCCCTTCACATCCCTCAGAATCCTGATTGCAGCTTGGTAATGAGACCACTTTGGTTTGCTCATAAATCTTCTAACCATTCCAACTGTATAGCAAATATCAGGTCTGGTATTACACAAATACCTCAGAGAACCAACCATTTGTTTAAAGTTTGTAAGCACCCACATCTTCTCCATCAGAATCAGAGTCCAACTTCTGATTTGTATCAGCAGGTGTGATAGCAACCTTGCAATTCTCTAGCTCAAATATCTTCAGAAGCTCTAGTTCATACTTCATCTGATGCAAAATGATTCCTTTCTCAGAGTACATAAACTCTATCCCTAGAAAGAAACTCATTTTTCCAAGATCTGTCATCTCAAATGCATTCATCAGAACTTTCTTGAACTCATCTATCTCTTGTTCAAAACTTCCCGTGAGTAATATGTCATCAACATACAAACATACTAGAATCATATTACCTTCTGAAGTGTGCTGAACATAAACACCATACTCCATCTCACACTTTTGAAACCCTTGTTCCTTGAAAAACAAATCAATATTTAAATTCCAAGCTTTGGGCGCTTGCTTCAATCCATACAATGCTTTATGTAATTTGAACACCATCCCTTCCTGATTCTTTTTCTCAAATCCAGGAGGTTATGAAACATACACCTCTTCTTGTAATGGACCATTCATAAATGTAGATTTTACATCTAAATGCATCAGAGGCAAATTCTTGTTAGTAGCTATTGCAATCACTAGTCTGATTGTTTCATGTCTCGCTACAGGTGAAAACACTTCAAAGTAATCCAGCCCAGGCTTCTGTAGAAAGCCTCTTGCTACTAATCTCTCTTTGTGTTTGCCAATTGAGCCATCTGGATTTAGCTTCTGCTTGAAAACCCATCTAACATTGATGGCTTTCTTGTCTTTTGGAAGTTCAGTCGGCTTCCAAGTCTTGGTTCTCTCTATAGCACCAAGTTCTTCTTTCATGGCCTGCAACCAGACTTGTTGCTTAAGAGCCTCTTTCTTACTCACGGATTTAAAGTCTACTAACATTGCACACTGAATAACTTCTCCTTCAGAGTCTAGTTCAGTGTCTCGCAACATGTCAAACTCTGCAAATATTTTTGGGATGCTTTTGACTCTTTGTTGCCTCTAAACTGGATCTTCAGAACTTTGGACACCATAACTTTCCCCTTCAGAAGCACTTGCTTCAGAAATTGGAATTTCTCCAGAACCTTGATTGTCTTCAGAGTCTGGATCACCATCAGAGTCAAAGTCAGAATCATCTTCTCCTTCTGTATCTTCTTCAGAGTCAAAGTTTTTACCTGGTTCAGAAACATGTGTTTCTAACTTTTCTTCAGGAGTTCTCTCATCAGAGTCAGGACGAGACCTTTCCCAATTCCAAACTTCTGATTTTTTTACAATGACGTCTCTGCTGAACTCAATTTTGTTAGTTTCTAGACAATAAAGTTTGTACGAACCTGTACTGTGGTACCCCACCAGTAACATTACTTTACTTCCATCATCCAACTTTTGTCTTCTGGCTTCTGGGTCATGTTTATAACATACATAACCAAACACCTCCAGGTGACTAACATTTTGCTTATCTCCAGTCCACTTCAGAATAGGAACTATTTCCTTCAATTTCTTCGTTGGACATATGTTGAGCACATAACATGCAGTTGCAACAGCTTCTCCCCACAGAGTATGAGGAAGTTTCTTCTCTTTCAGCACGCTTCTCACCATATCAAGAAAAGTACGGTTTCTTATTTCAGCAAGACTATTGTGTTGAGGAGTATAGGGAGCAGTAACCTCATGCTCAATTCCATTTTCCTCACAGAAACTTCTGAGTTCTGTGGAGTTATACTCACCACCATCATCAGTTCTAAGAATCTTTAGAGTCTAGCCACTCTGATTCTCAGCCTTTAGTGTAAACTTCTTGAATTCAGCAAACACCTCGTGTTTGAACTTTATGAGAGATACCCATGTCATTCTGGTGAACTCATCAATAAATGACACAAAATATTTATTCCCTCCAGTCGATGCTACTGGAAACGGACCGCACACATCAAAATATACTACTCCTGAGGCTTGCTTTGCTCTTGGAGCTACTTCTGATGCAAATGAAAAATCTTGGTTTCTTCCCTTCCATGCACACCTTGCATGAATTCTTAGGCTTCTTGATTGTAGGAATTCCATGTACCAGATTCTTTGATTTCAGATGCCCTAAACTTCTGAAATTCAGATGACCAAATCTTCTGTGCCATAACTCACTCTCCTTGACAACACTTGTTGCACTAAGACATTCAAAGTCTGCAGTTCTAACATTCACCTTGAATGTTTTATTCCTTCCCTATTCTGAATCCATAATCAACTTCTGATTACAGTTATACAGCTTCAGAAGATTGTCCTTTATGGTAATTGAAAAACCTTTCTCAATCAGTTGTCCTACACTCATCAGTTTGCTTTTCATGCCAGGTACATGCCAAACATTCTGGATCACCGCTGCTTTCCCATTATTTAGAATGATTCTGACATTTCCCATACCTTCTGCATTGAGGTATTTATCATCAGCACATCTGATCTTTGTACTCTTCCCAGAGTCAAAATCAACCAACCACTTCTTGTTTCCAGTAAGATGATTTGAACACTCTGTGTCCATATACCACCATTTTAATGAATTCAGATCATCAGGTTCAGAAGAAAACAATAACACAGGTTCATCATCAGACTCTCATCTTGCTATATTTGCTTTTTCTGACTTCCTTTCTTTGTTAGACCAGTAATATCTGGTATATTGACCAAAGTTCTTGCAACAGTAACACTGAACATTCTTCTTGTCAGACTTCTACTTTCCCTTCTGGTCATTCTTCTGCCTATCAGAGTTTAAAGCTTCTGACCTTTGACCACCATTAGTTTTCTTCTTGGCTTCTGACCAAGTCTGCTTCTGATGCTTCTTACCAGAAGTTACTTTCAGAGCCTGCTGCTCTACTTCCCTCTCATAAGTTCTTGCAGTCATACGCAAATCATGCGCTTCTAGACTACTTTGTAGCTCTTCAAATATCATGGTGCTCATATCTTTGTAATATTTAATTTCTACCACAATGTAATCAAATTGAGAAGTTAAAGATCTCAAGATCTTCTCAATGATTGTTTGTTCAGAAAGGGTTTCTCCACAAGCTTTCATCTTATTACTGATCAGAATCACTCTAGAGATGTACTCGGAAACCTTCTCGTTATCCTTCATGTTGAGATTCTTATATTGCTTTCTCAGAGACTGAAGCTTCACCTTCTTCACTGATGTGTCACCACCGTAACATATGACCAGTGTGTCCCATGCAGCCTTAGCTGTTTCAGAATCAATAATCTTCTCAAACACATTCGCATCCATACATTGATAGATGTAGAACAACACCTTCTGGTCTTTCTTCCTCAGCGCCTTCTGTTCCTCTGTTGTGTTTGCTTCTAACAGATTATAGTCATCAGTGACAAGATCTAACACAT